AGTAACCATATTTTTTCGAGAATGCGTTTTTTCCCACCCCCTTTCAAAATTCGGCGCCCCTTTTTCATTTTTGCGCCCCCCAAGAATTGCCAGCTGGGGGGGGGGGCTGTGGCCATAATTCTAATGGAAGCAGCCGTAGGAATATCAAAAATATGGTTGTGGGAAACACAAAATTTGGGTTGTGTTACTCAGGGATGGATCCAGCATGATCTGGTAAGGGGTGGTGCTCTGCCAGCTCTGGTGCCGAGTTGTGTCGGTCATGCATGCCGCCCGCCCATTAACTTGCCTCATCACTACAAAGTCTCGCATTTGAATTTTATATTGTTGTTCACAGTTCAGTTATCATCATATTATTACTCAAATTACTGTATCTCATTTTGCCTCTAATAATTTTTTGCTTTATCATGAAAAATAGCACCCCCCTGCACCCCCTCTGGCTAGGGCTAGGGGATGCACCCCACACCCCGAGTAAATCCATCCCTGGTGTTACTGATGGTTGCTGCCGCTTCGAAATTACAATGCGGAGATAGTATCTGGTCTAAAAATGCAGCCAGCGAGGTGCCAACCTGCGTCAGATTTAGGTTGGCACTGTTTTGCCAACCTCAATTTTGACTTTTTTTTGAGGGTTGTAGATATGAACTGTTACAAAATTATTACAGCTGTAAGAATAAAGTAAAGATGCTATTTACAAGATAGAGGTCAATTTTTGTTATATTGAACTTTAGTGCCCAACATTCCTGGTTTCAAGGCATTTATCTCTTAGTGCAGAACAGGAAAAAACAAACTTGGATAGTTTTTATTAGTGTTGCTTTATTTTTAGTTGACTTTAGTATATCAACTGATACATTTTGTTCACTTTGCCGTCTTTGGTATGTATATATTGTTGATGAAAACAGAGGTAATATACAGGGAACAATACAAATAGGCCCCATTTTTTGCCAATAAACTTTGAAATAACTGGATTTTTTCAAGCAACCCCACCCTGCCTGTTTGAAGAAGTCACGTCATGATTGGTTTTTTTGTGTGCTCGCCATTGAAAAATATATGAATAATTCCGCTACCAGCCATTTAGTAAAACTGTCTTTTATTTTAATTGTGACGATTTCAGGTCAGTCTTTTATTCCCAATTGCGTTTTTAAATTTGGAGTACTAGCTGCCATTGGGATCGGTTTATTTTATAAAATTAACTAGTGTCTATTAATTAAATTGCCAGTTGTGAGCTATAGTGTACTAAATCTAGTCTACGTTGGGAATTGATCTCCTTTTAGTAGTTTTTCTCCCGCTGATAACACTTGGTATTAGTGCAATCTCGCATTTGGCTTACTGATAACACTTACCTCGATAATTTTGAATATTACAAAACCTCATCCGATAACTGTTATAATTTTACATTGTGTCTTTTTCGATGCGGTACAAGATTCACATGAATCAAATCAAATTTGCTTCTGGGAAATGCTATGCATGATGATAAATTTGACGAATCTTATATAATAGATTCTGGTTCAGATGGTTTGGCCGTGGCAGCATATCCAAGTTCTTCCATACAAGATCATCCTAGTCCTAGAGGAGGCAGTGCAGGTGATGATAGTGATGAACGTAATGATGATGTTTTAATGACAAAGAAGAGAAAAGAAAAGAAAAGAGAAAAGTCATCTGACATTGATCTTGACAGCACTAGGGGTGCAGATGCCGTACATATTGAGGTAAGCTCTCTGGGATTGCTTTGTAGTTGCAGACGAAATTTGCCCCTCGATTTCTGACAAGATCCCAGGGTTGTAAATTGTAATGGTTACAAATGTAAGGAAAGGGGTGTCAACAAGCATATACAGGGTGTATAAAAAAAAACTGAACAGATTTGAAATTGCTCTCAATTTCGCAAAACACCTATATTTGTATCCGGTTTTTTATATATATAGCTTCTTTGGGTACTTATAATGTAGAATAATGAAAAAAATTTCTTGAACTCAATTTTTGTGAACCAGGGGGGGGGTGTCTTTTCCAACAAACTAAAAATGGCTCGCGCACAAAATTTAAAAGTTGTAATCATATTTTGAGTTAATAGATGGAAACTTTGTTGGGTTTTTAATTACTGTACAAAATTTCAGAAAATTAGGCTTAGTCTAAGCCCTTTAACTATTCACGCAAAGTTACATTTTTCCTAAAAATCAGCTATTTGCATGCTTAATTAATGCCTTTGCCTAATTTGCATATGTTTAGCAATATGCAAATGAGGTAAATGCATTAATTAAGCATGCGAAAGGCTGATTTTTTAGAATAAAATGAATAGTTAAAGGGCTTAAACTCAACCAAATTGTCTGAAATTTTGTACAGTAATTAAAAACGCGACAAAGTTTCCATCTATTAACTCAAAATATGATTACAACTTTTAAATTTTGTGCGCGAGCCATTTTTAGTTTGTTGGAAAAGACACACCCCCCTGGTTCACAAAATTCGAGTTTCAGAAATTTTTTTCATTATTCTACATTATAAGTAGCCAAAGAAGCTATATATATAAAAAAACGGATACAAATAGGTGTTTTGCGAAATTGAGAGCAATTTCAAATCTGTTCAGTTTTTTTTTATACACCCTGTAGAGGTGTAGTATTAGGGCCCATCAAGAGACAGTTGTGGGCCCTCGATTCTGTTAGAAACTATGAAAAATGAAAATTACTAAATTACTATTACAGGGTATTGTTATTTGTTAGGGTATTGACCTGAGTTAGGTTTGTCTAGGCTGAATCAGGATTAAAGATACAAATTAATGTTATCAGTGCCATGAGTAACTTTGTTACAAGTAACTAGTTGCATGAGTTACATGTAATCGTTACTTTTTTAAGTAACTGTAATGCATGGTAACCAGTTACTTTTTTGGGAAGGTAACTTGTTACTGTAACTAGCTATAAAAATTGATAAAAAGTAGCAGTAACTACTGTTATGTACATTCTAGCCTCAAGAAAGCCGTCACTTTTGGCGATATCCAACTTTTTAAAAAGCTGTTTTATCCCAAATTTCCGCCACGCAGAGTTGTCGCTCAATTTTTCACCCACGGGTTTGAATATTTTGCATTATGGATTTATGCCGTACGTTGCATTGCTAGATAGCGGAAGCGCACGGTGGCAGATTTTCATTGAACTGAACTGAACCACAGGTGCAACATGTAAAAAAGGTTAAAAGGTTGTTAAAAGGCTGTTTGTTGACAATTGACATAACTCAATCCATAAATTATAGTCTGACTCCTGCTATTACTTGACAGCCCCTGCTATTATAATATGATATCGCAACTTTGTGACAAGTTACAACATTTTTTAAGTAACTTTGTAAGTGTTAGTTAACTTTGTAACTACTTTTATTCCATTGTAAGTTTGTAGCTTGTATCGCTTACTTTTCTGATGACGTAACTGAAACTAGTTAGAAAAATTATGGAACTTTTACAGCACTGAAAAGGATCATAAAAGTGGGGTACTATAGGGGCACTTCTATAGAAATACTGACCTGTTTCTACTTTATATGAACCATTGTTCTCCTGCATAAAGACATCTTTGGGAAAGCATTGACTGACTCTACAACTGGCCAGTTTAGGATTATAGAATTGGTTAACACGAAACAGCATAAACGAGAAAGCAGTATTATGTACCCCAGCTGACACATTAGGACCAACTGTTTTTGATTATGTAGATGGGTTCTGTAGCTGAGGATGAGCAGGACGAAAAATGTAAAGTTGAAAATAACCAATCGGAGGAAAAACCCCGAATTGCCGCAGACGTGATTTGGAGTTTGGATGAGATAATAAAATCGCATTTATCAATTAATAAATACAACTTTTGCAAGTGCGAAAACGAGTCCTGTGAGAATTGTCAATTGGTAACTATTTGTTGAATGTTTAACAAATAATAGAAATTTGTATTTATTCGGTATGCAGAGACTGTGGTGCAGGCTTCTGTTTGACAGCTATTCTATAACGATTGAGACCTGTAATTTAGTTTTTAACTATTTTAGGTTAAAGAAAAATTCAGAGGTTACTGTGATAAGAGCAATTTGAATTGGGCCCCTGTGGTGGAATATCATCGAAAAACATGTCAATTTTGCTGGTGCAAAATTTGTACCAGGTATAATTAAGTCCTTAATATATGCCCGGCACTGATAGTAAAATTAATTATGTACAGGATATATTACTTATTATAACTGTATATGGTAATTATGGTTTCGTAACGATAGTAACAATAGTAACGATAAAAGAGTAGTTTCCAGAAGGGTGTATTGATCAATTATGTTTATTTTCCAAGACATTTCTAGAACTTGTATATCATGCATTCTGAGAAACAATTAATTTTGACTTTAGTTTTAATCGAACTCTCAATAGATTAACTGTATCGCACCATCTAGTTAGTTTTTGTGTTTTTATTTAAATTAAAGGTTGAAAGACAAAACACCTATTGTTGTTGTTCAGCAAAATAAACGTCTTGCAAGAATTGTTGCTGGTTTGGATCAAGAGGATTCAATAATTTGTAGGGTAGATATGTTTTTTTTTTCTGTGTTGGTGTAATGTACTCAGGTGAATATGATGCTTGTGATGTACCGTTACTCTGAAATTCATGATTACTAGATTACATCGATATCGAAGGAACTAGAATCATGCAGTTCCGAAATATAACATACTTGAACCGACCTGACCGCGTAGCTCAGTTGGCAGAGCATTGGGCTAGTATTCCAAAGGTTGTAGGTTCGATTCCCACCGTGGCCAGGCATATTTTGCAAGCCTGCCCGGTGTGGATATACACTCAGAGTAACATCACAAGCAAGATATATATATCATGTTGCCATTTAAACAATTAGTACCGTTATAGACCCTAATTTCCTGAATTCGCTTCAAACGTTGACTGCATACATATACAAAAAACAGCTTGAACACAACGTGATCCGGCCGCACTATGCCGCTAACAAACCTGCCAACTGCTCGATTTTGTGGGGTATCATCCAATTTTTGACAAAATCTCTAGCTCACCCAATGAATGGTGATGCATGTTCACCCGATTTTTAGTGGGTTTTTAACTGACATTTCTGCATGACATTTCTATTAATTCTAAGTTTTTGTGGCTATTGACTCAACACTGATTTTTTCTCACATTTTTTTTCGTAGTCTCTTAAAAAATATATTTTTATTAGCAGATTTTTAAGGATTTCTTTTCGCATTCTCCAATGTCCAGATTTTCTTCAGGTAAGGGTTGGCAGGTCTGTGCTAAGTCGCATGGAATCTCTGCATTAATCCTTATATCATTTTCTTGTGTGCACTTAACCAACTGATCACGAGCAGAATCTGTTTAACTGCATTCTTTTGTTTTAACTAACGAAATTTCAAATGTTGGTATATTTTAGAATGATGTTTCGAGTGATCTAACACATTTCAAGGCGGGGTCAGACTTTCACTTCAAAGGCAAAACATGCTTTGCAGAAGGAAGTTCTGGGGAAGCCTGGGATATTGATATAGATGAATCAGTCAAAGGCAAATTTTCATCAAATTGTACATGCTTTGTGCTGAAAAAGGTGATCTAGTAAAAACTAAATACAGTTCTATAGAAACACAAAATTTATCTAAGAACTGATTATGTCACATAATTTTCAAACAATGAATTATTGACCCAAACATATCCCACAATGCACTGTGCATTCCAGAAGTCCTCTGTATTAAAAATTGTGTGACGTAAGCACAACTCGCGACTTTGTCGCTCGGGTCGCGCGCTCCCTCCCCCGCGCCCTCCTTCCCCCGCGCCCTCCCTCCCCCATGGTCGACTTGTGGCAAGTCTAGTAACACACCTATGTGAGTGCAGAAATGTAAACACAAAAGTTAAAAAAAAACAATGTGAAAATTTATATTTTCTGAGCACTCGCTATACAGTGAGCTGTTATTTTAAGGAGGCAATTTAAGATGAATAAAAATTATTCACAGTCTAACACCAGTGACAGTTTATTTTACTGAGTTTACTATCGTATTCATCACTATAATTAAATATTTTTAGTCAAATAGCTTCACAGAGGATGAGAAATATATATATGATAAGAAAATTGCCAATCATCCTAATATTGTGAAAACCTTCCTGGTTGTGTGCAAGAAAGAAAGGAATTTCACACATAGAATAGTAATGGAACGATGTGGTCGTAAGTGTGCTCAGTTGTTAATTAATGCCTGGTTCACATAGGCGTACCGGGCGGGGGGGCGGTAGCCCCCCCAGTTTTTTGGGCAGTCGGGCAATATTCGATTAACAGTCGGGCAATTTTGGTTTGTTATAAAAATAAATCGGACAAATTCTGTCAATTTTTTCAAAAATTTAGTCAATTTTGTGGCCAATGTAGTGTTTTTTTGAAAATTTATGTGATGCTCCGAAAAATTTTGGTATGTCTGGAAAATTTTTTTACCTCTTAAATGGTACACTGACTGAAATTTCCGCCCCCCTAATTTTTTCCTTCCGGTACGCCCATGATTGGGGATTGCCATTATCTGTGGTCATTGGTGTGTAAAATGCTTTGTCTATCGTAAAAGAATACAATAGATCGCCGATGAGTTACGACCAGCGTGAACCAGGCTTCACTATGGATAAAATCAGACAAAAGTTCCATGGAAATTTTAGATGGGGTGAGCAGTTGCGTTTCAGAGCGGGCCAGATGCAAATATAACCGGTCAGCTCTGAAAGGCTCTCCTCAGCCAATCAGATTGCTTCATTGTCACCGATAAAAAATAATTAATGGAATACCGCGACTTTCCTTGTCCTGTACATCATGAGTGGTCGTACATGTTTTCTTCAAAGCCTTCACTGCGCGCTTTTCTTCAAACTTTTTTCTCATATGTTCTTAAAATCTTGGTTATTACACTCCTGACAATCTACATTTCTTAGATCAGTCGGAGGTGTCCCATAGGCCCATAACACCCATCAACCGTAGTGACGTGCCCGCAATAATGATGGACTTTTCACCTTGTCGATCCGGGATAAATGTCAATGCCTATATATTCTTTATGTCACTGGCAATACTACTTCTAGACAAATTCTAAAGATTTTGCTCCTTTGAATGTCGCATTTTACTCTTAAAGGAAATCTAATTAACAGAAAAAGTATTACATGCAAATGTAAGCTCATGTCTTCTTTATAGACAAATCCGTGGATGATTATGTTTATAAGCGTCGTTACCAGATGGAAATAGATGAAGCAAAATTTTATTGGCTGCAGGTTGTGGATGCTGTTGTGCACTTGCATTCCAAGAATGTCATCCATATGGATATAACACTTGCTAATATACTGTTCCGTGATGACGGCCGTGTTCAACTAGCAGATTTTGGGCGTGCTGAAAGATTATATGAGGGATGCTCAGGACGTGACTTCTCGGGTATTGCAACACCTTATACTGCCCCAGAGGTAATGCAAATGCACCGTTAAGAAATTATCCAAAACAGGCTCCAAGATCTGTCTGAATAAATATCTGCCCCAATAGACCTTTCCCCTTTTGAGTGAAATTTTGATCTAGACAAGTCTGGACAAAAATTTCATCACAGCTTGAAAGAGCATCACAAAATTAGTAATATTCCGAAGTTTCGTTGCGAAATGTTGTAAAATGCGGATAATATAGTCTTGCGAAGTTTGCCGTTTTTCAGTCATTTTGTATTACAAATGGGAAATTGGTAATCAGTTTGATCGTCAGATTATCGATTTCCATTTGTAATGCAAAATGACTGAAAAACGGCAAACTTCGCAAGGCTATATATTATCCGCATTTTACAACATTTCGCAACGAAACTTCGGAATATTACTAATTTTGCGATGCCCTTTCAAGCTGTGATGAAATTGTTGTCCAGACTTGTCTAGATCAAAATTTCACTCGTAAGGTGAAAGGTCTATTGAACGGGCCATGTGCCAGTAAACCGACTGAGTCTTGTGAGAGCCTTGTGACCCTGAGCCCATCAGAGAGACATTATGATTAACTTGATATTTTTTACACAGTTTGATTATAGAAGTGTCATTCTACCATTGGTAGTTGTTTATTTAACTTTATTCTTACCTTCTATTTGCCCAGGTCTTGGATGAGAAAGTCTACGGCCGACCTGCAGATATCTACAGTTTAGGAATGTCGTTTTTGCAGATGCTAGGATATGCATTATCAGTATGTTTCTTGAAGTTATGTTATTCTTTGCATGGACAAGGCTTACAAAAATTCTAAAAAGTTTTTGTTCTTTGAGAATTGATATGTTCCTAAACATGTTACTCACGATTTACTCTGTTGTAATTTAGGATGTAGATGAATTGAAACGTCGTGATAAAGACATGGGTGAACTTATTGAGAGCTGCTTGGATGTAAGTAGTATACAAAATGTTGTTGGTATAGCTGGCAGGGTTTCACTAAGTTGAACAGTGTATAGTACATGGTGGTTAATTTTATTTTTTCCTAATATCTTTTTGCAATATTTACCGTGTCTCTTTTCTATAACATTCTCTTTTCTATTATCAGACTTTGTGTGGTTTGACTATTTTCCTGTTCTGTGACTAAATTTTATTTATCAAATATTTTAATATTTATATTAAAAGTCGTCAAGCCTCCGAGTACATTTTACTAATTGTAAATTATCCCCCTACCCCACTGCATGATGGCAGAAATTTCCTCCGTAGATTCCTCCATAGTGGGTTCATGTTACATTAGAAGATTTTTTAGATTTGAATCATTTGATGGGTGATAAGAAAAGTGTAAAAATTCTGATGTTAAATTTCTTATATAGGAGTGTCCAAGCGAAAGACCGACTGCACGAGAAATACAGAAGAAACTAGAAATATAGAAGAGAAGTTACCAAAGATGAACATTCATAGAACACCTACTGTGAGCTTTGTATTGTTTCAAGAATTTGGCAAACTATTTTCTTCTTCGCTAGCATAGATATCTTATATACACTAGATAGTGCATCTAATTATTCTGCAGTTCAAAAATTGAAGCCGTGATTGCAGACTCAGGATATAGTTAAACCTATTCCAAATACATTTTCAAACTATTCAAATGATGAAAGTTGTTGCTGTTTTTTAAGCGTTTATTAGCGAGTGGGAAACTCCAACATGGCCGCCATCTATTCAAATGGGGGTAACCGCTGGAATATTCTTGGCTTAATCAATTTTACTAAAAGAGATGCGCTATCTAGTGTATATAAGATATCTATGTTCGCTAGACGTAACGCGGACGCCTTCTCTTCTCCCGCCCTCACTAAACGGCTGCTATACGCAGGCTACGCTAGACATAAAGTATTTTGCTATCCTTATTTGTAAATTTCAATCGATAGCATATTTTACTGTAATGGTAAATTATTTGTATAAAGTTATACAGTTGTATTTGGAATGGCAGGAAAGATAATAAAACTGATAAACAAACCTAAATCCGGCTAAAGTCCATGTATGTGTTACCTTGCAGTGGCGTAGACAAGGGGGGGCTCAGCCCCCCCCCCCCAATAGGCTGAAGGACTGCCCTTGTAAAAAGATGAAATCCGGGTAGAAATTAGGGGGGGGGGACGATGACTACCCATGTGACTACCAATCTCATCTGTTCACCAAATTGTCTATAAAAGTTCTAATCTTTCCTAAATCTAACTACAGAAAATAATGCCTATGGTGGTTATTGGTTAAAATGCGTTTTAAAACTTCGATTTAACTATTCACACGCGACCAAGTAAGCTTCGTTGAGTCAAATTAAGGATCCACATTATTGAGAAATCATTAAAAATCAGGTCTTTCCTGCGGTAAATAATCTTCAGAATTATGCAAAAACTCTCCCCAGAAACACGGGAAATCGCCATTGAGGGACTCCAGATTTCAAAATTTTCCCGGGGGAAAATGCCCCCGGACCCCCTAAAAAGGCTTACGCCTTCGGCGTTCGATACATGCCCCCCCAAAAAAATTATAGTCTGGCTACGCCACTGTTACCTTCTAACAACAATCAATACTAAACAGCTAATCGTCATGGTTAAGAGTCTAGCTAATTGCGCGGTAAGAACAAATTGGGGATATTTACCCCCCTCCCCCGACAATGTGAAGAAGGTTCAGCAAAATCTTGGGTTCTTGGTCAGAAGCGGGGGCTAGCCCCCCTCCTCATAATTTCTTCATCCAGGATTGTAATAATTTGAGTACTTTCTTTATTGCAGAGGCAATTACAATCAACTCATCTGTAATAATTTTTCAAAACTGGGGGATGAAGTTGTAAAAAGTTATAAAATTCATTACTAAATCTTGAATTTTCAAATGTAAAAACGTTCAGCATTCTAAGGAAACATGGAAAATGCTCTTCTCTTTTAAGGCTTCGAAAACGACCCCCAGCAACAATTTGCATCGGTGGTAAATAACAGGACTAATCAGGGGCGGAGCGAAGACTATCCTTTCCGGGGGGTGCAAGACAACTTTTTGCCGACAAAAGGGCGTGGCTAGCACGTTGTTAGGGCGTGGTCAAAACGAACCGTATTCATTTTTAAGTGATGTACAACAATGAAATCCGAGTAGTAAGATAACTTATTTTCAAAATAGGCGAAATATAGTTCCTTAAAATACATGGTATAAATTTCAAAAAAGCACATCCAATCGTCATCAAACGACCAATTACAAACTAAACACGTCAGTTTCTCTCTCTTCCGTTTGCGTTTTTGCTTGCTACTGTCCATTCTTTTTAATCATCTTCGTATTTCTCATTGTATATAAGACCGTTAGGTGTAATTTCTAAGACTTTTACTGGCTTTACAAGATTATGAAATGAAGCGCAGACGCATCAACAGTCAACACGCACATGTGCT